TATACTGTTTGGTTGCTGAGAAAATGCGGGAAAAAGGAAAGAAGTATAACCCTGTTTCATATTATCACCGCATTTAGGCAAATTACTTGATTTAAGCTCAGTTGATTGGTGCTTAATTTAGATTTAATTCTAGTGATTAGACTTGTGATTCAATGGTATTTGTTTTGTGCAATTTATATGGATTAATGCCATTATTTTCAAATATTTTCTTTTAACATCAAGAACATAATACTTTGAAGTTTTTAATTTAGATTCTTTCTCTTCTAATTATTTAAATTTCAAGATTTATTGGAGCTTTGGTTATAAGGGACTAAATTTATGATTTATTTCTTCTCTAAATTATATTTCTTTATTTCTGTAATTTTTTTCCTTCTACTTTTTCAGTTACTGATGATGCAAGCAAGTTTGTGGAAGCTTCAAAGAAAGGAAATTTGGTTCCTCTTTACAAATGTATTTTCTCTGACCAGCTCACTCCGGTTCTTGCATATCGATGCTTGGTTAAGGAGGACGATCGAGAGGCTCCAAGCTTTCTGTTTGAATCAGTGGAGCAAAACTTGCAGGTTTCGATCAAACTGTGCTAAATATGATTTGATACTTATTGGTTTTGAAATGATGGGTATTATTTAATTGTACATTGTAATTTTGTGTTGCATTGATTGTAATAGGGGCGTTTCAGCGTTGTTGGTTCTCAACCAACAATGGAAATTGTGGCAAAAGAAAATAAGGTGACGATCATGGATCATGAAGAAGGGCGCATGACTGAGGAGTTTGTCGAGGATCCGATGGTTATTCCTAGAAGAATCTCGGAGGGTTGGAGTCCCCAACTTATTGATGAACTTCCCGATGCATTTTGTGGTAAGAGAAGTGAAGATGCAAGTTACGTTCTTTTATGACATGATCTTACTAAATATCATAGATGCGATGAAGATATTTTCTGCTAGACTGTATGCTGCTGGTTTTTCCCAAATTGGTTTCCCAGATCTCCTATGCTCAAGCTAACATGGAAATGTACAAAGATATAGTTGCTTATTTTTCGAGATTATCATGGTTCTCCGTTTTGCTTATGTTTTCCTTTCCGTAATTCTTGAGTACATAAATACTTCATAGTAATTATACATGGAAATTATAACACAATACATTGGTATATTGTTCTGTGAACAACTTTAATGAATTTTGACATTAGATGCATAGAAAAAAGTACATTGGTTATCAATTTTGAATGACTAAAGCTTTCTGATAAACTGAGTTGTCGGAGTTACTTAACAAGTTCAAGTCTCATTTTACTGATGCAAGGATAACCACGCTAATGTGTGCTTGGATATGCACTAATGCAATTACTTTGTAATATTGAAAAAGTAGAGATATATCTCTATGCATACATATTCTTTGTTAAAAATCTCGTAACGTGCAACATCAGACTTTGTTTCAAAAGCCACCGCCTTCATAGATCTGTGGCATTTCTGAGTAATTGTAGGCTTTCAGTTGAAGATGAAAGCCAAACTTTATTAGATGCTGGATTGACACACTATAGTTTATTTCTCTTTATGCTTCCGAGAACATGCTTAGTGATAAACCGTTTATGAACAGGTGGCTGGGTAGGTTATTTTTCGTATGATACAGTTCGGTATGTGGAAAAAAGAAGACTGCCGTTCTCAAAGGCCCCCAAGGATGACAGGAATCTTCCAGACATGCATTTAGGGCTTTACGACGATGTCATAGTGTTTGATCACGTGGATAAGGTACTCTTGTTTCAATCTTCTTACAGGCATTGCACATGAAATCCAATAAATAAAGTTTCGATGTTTATGTGTGAAACCGCTAACTGTCTTTAACGTACAATTTTATAACTTTGGCGTGCAATATGTAAGTACTATTTGTTTTTCAATTTTCAACCTACGAATTGTTTCCTCAGAATTTGATTGGTAATTACTGTGACTCAGTTATGGTTGAGGTTCTTACGAGTTTTTGTCACTCTATTCATCTCAGAGAGTTTATGTGGTTCATTGGGTGAGGCTGGAACGGTACTCCTCAGTTGAGCAAGCTTATACAGATGGAGTAAAACGTTTGAAGGATTTGGTGGCTAGAGTACACGGCCTCGACCTGTGAGTAACTACTGTACTTATTTATCTCTAGTTACATTGTATTTCGTTTTTCTTTGTAGTTCCATATAGAATTACATCGACCTGTGAGTAAACAAAAAAGTCCAATCGGACCATATTGATTTGATCGTCGATTGTTAGCCCAAGGCTACCTCCAGGATCTATGAATCTGCATACTCGCCAATTCGGTCCTCCTCTAAAGAATTCTAGCATGACAAGTGAGGGTTACAAGGACAAAGTAAAGCATGCAAAAGAACATATACTTGCGGGGGATATCTTCCAGATTGTATTAAGTCAGAGATTTGAACGTCGAACATTTGCCGAACCATTTGAAGTTTATAGAGCCCTGAGGACTGTAAATCCCAGCCCATATTTGACTTACTTGCAGGTTTGTGTGATTTTCCTTGTGCTTTTTTCTTTCCTTTTTTGTTACGGCCAACATCTGTTCACGGTTGCAATTTCTCTTTTTTTTTTTTTTTTTTTTTTTCCATATATCTCAACCGAAAAATGAAAAATACAAACTTTTATGTATTTTTGTACTTAGGCTCGAGGGTGCATCTTGGTTGCTTCAAGTCCAGAAATTCTTGTGACTCTAAAGAAGGTAAATATGGCAAGTAATTTCCGTATTAGTTTTTCTCCAACTTCCTTGAGTTCGTATATAAGTTCTTAAACTTTTAGATTTAATCAATCGATCGTTAGCTACTCTGACTTGATGATTATTATGATGTTACAAACAGAAAAAGATTGTGAATCGGCCATTAGCTGGAACTGTTAGAAGAGGGAAGACTACCGAAGAAGATCAAAAGTTAGAAGCGCAGCTACTTGATGATGAAAAGCAATGTGCAGAACACATCATGCTGGTTGATCTAGGACGAAACGATGTTGGAAAGGTTTGTCTTAAACAATTACCTAATAGTGTGGGCATTAATGTGCAGAACGCATCATGCTGGATGATTCTTACGAATTTCAGTTGATAAACTTGTGCTGGTAATGTGGTGTGATATAGGTCTCCAAATACGGTTCTGTGAAGGTGGATAGATTGATGAATGTTGAACGGTATTCCCATGTAATGCACATAAGCTCCACGGTAAGAATCTCCGATCTGATCGAGTTTGGTGTCAGTTCACGGTTTCTAACTGTTCCGTAGAGAAAATTACTTAGAATCTTTGCGAGTGACAAAGGACATCACAATTCATCTTGCAGGTTACGGGAGAGCTGCATGATGATCTCACTTGCTGGGATGCCCTGCGATCTGCATTGCCCGTTGGAACTGTTAGTGGAGCACCGAAGGTTGTTAGTTAGCCTTTACTTTCTTCCCTTTTGCAGTTCACCTTCGACACAATTTCATCATCGTTTGTGATCTGATTCAGGTGAAGGCCATGGAGTTAATTGATGAGCTGGAGGTAACAAGGCGTGGTCCGTATAGCGGTGGCTTTGGATGGGTTTCCTTTACAGGTGATATGGACATTGCGCTAGCTCTGAGGACCATGGTGTTTACAACAGGATCCCGTTTTGACACAATGTACTCTTACAAAGATGCCAACCGGCGAAGGGAATGGGTCGCTCATCTTCAGGCTGGTGCCGGCATAGTGGCTGACAGTGATCCGGAGGATGAAAACCAAGAGTGCCAGAACAAAGCTGCCGGTCTCACTCGTGCCATCGACTTAGCGGAGGCAGCATTTGTCAAGCAATGAGAGTGTGATCCTTCCAGTTGTGTAAGGAATACAGTTCTCAAATGCCCCCACAGTAACAGTATCATGCACACAGTTAATGAATGCATCTTTGTACACAGTTTTCTTTTATGCAAAAGCTTCAGCAGCCAAAGGCTTCTTCTTCTTGTTTAATATCCTTTCAATTTAATAAACGGGCAAGTTCAGATTTAGAAGGCTCAATAACCTCAGAATTAAGAACAAAAAACGGCTTTGGTTATCGAAGCCTCCTGCCAAACCTATTTCGTGGAGCACAGTGCTTGTGAAATAACTCGCTTTTGTTTGCTGCCTGGAAAAAGCTTGGTGCAGTTGCGATTTACCAACACTGCCAGAGGGTAACCGGTCCTCGACCTAAAATTCCAGAGATGAAGGACTTGTTCCATCTCATCCAGGAGCATGCTCTCACCAATGGAGCAGGAAATACTCCCTTTTTTGGAATACCAATCTCTGCCTGCTTGCTGTGATTACCACAAACAATTGAAACGGAGCACTCGTGTCAATCCTCCATCCATCGTAATCCTGCAGACATCTAACCTCGTTCAAAGATTGACAGTTCACTATCCAAGCTTCTAGGCTGAACAAATACGGCAGTGACAAACAAAACCAGTAACTTTCTTAAGGATTGAACTTCCCAACTCCATTTCCAATCTCTCCATCTAAAATCCCCGCGGTAAAGCATTCGGCGACTTGAGCAGCAGGTCCCCTCCTTACCCTTAAAACAATCAAACTTTGGGGAAGATGACATCTGATGATTTCTCTGTAGATATGCAGACAAGTCCGGTACTCTTACATACCTAAACTTGTTCAGCAACCAATATAAACAATTACACATTCAACGGACCCTGAACTCACTTCGAAAAGGAACTTCCCTGCGTCTGGAATGCCAGCATCGTGTTCCTGACGGTATCCCAAGCCAATCAAGCACTGTCACGCCCTGTCACGCTGGCACCTTGGCATCCCAGTGTAGGTAAGTTTCTATCCGGAGCTCCGATCCCAAATCAACTCGTAACAACAGTAGAAAGAATCTCACTTGACATTAAGCAACCCAAATCAGATCAAAATACCCCCAGTTCAACAACTAAATCATAAAATTCCAATACCCCTGGCAATAAAGCAGCTTAATTTAACAGCTAAACAAAAAACACAAAATCCAAAAACGGAAAGCAAATTCAATTTCAATCGAAATCTATCGTTACCAAACAAAAAGACTTTAAATTGCTGCGAATTGGAAAACACAATACGATCTGAATACATTTACAGAAGAAAACAGAAAGCAGAAAACAGAGTTTTACTGAATATTTATGCACGTGAAAAAATACATGGGCGTACGAACACGAGCGGAGCTCCACCACCACTCACCTACAGCAGTAATCTGACCAAATTGCCGCCCCTCACTTCTTGCTATCGTAATCGACGACCTCGGAGTCGGTGACCGACCTCGAGTGCTGCACTATGGACCGTCCGATCGAGTTGATCCAGTCCTCCTTCTCCTTCTCCGAGTCGGCGATGAAGTACATCGTCTCGGAGCGCGTCGACAGCTCGAACGCGTACTGCTTGTTGAGGACGTCCTCGGCTCCCTTCACTGTGAGGCACGACGCTACCGGGATCACCCCACGTGGACTGGAGCCGCGGTTCACGGCGGAGTCCTTGAACCAGAAGAGCTTGCCTTGCTTGAGCACGAACCACCGGCGACGCCACGTCTTTATGTACTCGCCTTGTTTGGTCAACCAGCCGGTGCGCTCGGGGTTCGACCAGAACTCGACGCCTTCGTAGTCGTTGGTCTGCTCCGTCTGGCCCATCGCGGCCCGCCATAGGCTCGCCATCGGAGTTCGGGTCGGGTTCGGTTTTTTTCAGAGCGTCCAACTGAATCTCATCCCCTGCGCAGAAAGCGTAAAGGTTGGAAAATAATAAATATCGTTACTAATTAATAAAACACTCAACCAAAATTATATAAAATTATTATTTTAACAATTTAATTAAAATATAACATGCATAAGAAATATTGGATAAAAATATAATTTCACACAACTAATTTTTTTTTTTTTTTTCAAAACCTCATCTACATATAATTCTAACATATTTTTAATTCTAACATATTTCAAAAATAAAAATAAAAAATTTACTCACCCATGTGCTAGTATAAATAAAAATTTTTCATAAGTTCGACCGGTAGGCATTAATTATATTTTGAAATGGACCCCGTAGACGTTAACTTAATTGATAAGTTCCAATAAAAAACTTTTATATGTCGAAATGGACCCAGTAGACGTTAAGATAAGTTGGTTGACAAGTTGACGGCATTGGACTGTTAGGTTTTTAGGTGTAAGATTAGAATTTAATTAATGATAATTAAGTTTACATGCCCAAAAAGAGGAGAGGGTAGTTGTAATCTCAGTCAATATCTTGATTATGTTCCCATGCATATGATATGACGCCTACCAACAACGATCTGGACTAAGTATTATAATATAATTGATTGAAAACTTAGAAAAATATTTCAACTAATTATATTATAACACTTTGTTCCGGTGTATTGAACTCGTAGATGAGATTCTTGTGTGTAACGAATATATGCTCGGAGTAGTATTATTGTCATCACGTGTCACTGAGTTCTTGTGTGTAATTAGATAAAGAGAGACCAATTGTAAGAATAAACTCTTGCATGATGAATTAACTTTCACTTCACAAACGTGAACACACAGATATTTATCTGACCCTCAACGTTCATCAGCTTAATTGTCTTAAGCTTATGATTAACGTATCACATTTTCTTTACAGTAAAGCTGCATAGCAGCAAGCAACTATCATTTAGCTTCAGATTTTCGGTCTCTCGCGACGAATTTCTACACCGGTGAACGGATTTTGTATATGAATGCAGATCCCTAGTGACATCCTCCATTTTCTAGCTATGCTTTGGTGATTCTTCCGAGCGTGCGAGTCCAATCCCCAGGAGCGGAAGGTATGCACTTCCTCACAAATGGATTCATTTCACTTGTGTTCGCGTAGTTTGCTTTGGTGATTCTGCCGCCTCAGTTTCTCCATTGATGTGGTTTGCTTCCTCTTCTTTTGCTGCAGGCACTTTTTCTTCAACAGCGGCGAGGCGAGGAGAGCAGGATCCACAATCTGCTTCTGGAGATTGGAACTGTCTTTGAACATTTCTTTGATTGGTCTTCTTCCCGTGAACATTTCTAACACTAGGATCCCATAACTGTATATGTCCCCTTGTCTTGATGGTTCACCACAATTACGTACTCTGTAACTCATGAAACAATCAAGTTTATAAGTTCTCTGCGGACTAGTTACAAAATCGGAACATTACGTCTATTATACGCTAACTTTTACTTTTGGTAAATTAAGAGTTCTTCTGATAGCTAATTTCGTGTTTAGTTTTTAGTTTTCTTTTACCGGTCTTTCTACCTCTTCAATAACTTATCTGTCTAGGTAGAAATTTGAGAAATTGTGAAAGTGTGTTTAGAAGAGTTTTACCTGGAGCAGCATAGCCAGTGGTTCCCGTTATTCCAACCATGATAATTTGATTTAGAGGGGAGTCCGCGGTGGCTGAAATGAGTCTTGCTAACCCAAAGTTTTTGAAGCTGAGAAACATGTGAAAATCGAGCTGGGATTGTCCCAGAGAATTTGTTTCCACCAATGCCAATTTGTTGGAGATTAGGCATGTTGAGGCCAATGTCAGGTGGATAATGCCCCCAAGTTCATTGCCTATTTCCTCCGGAACTATTCCCACCATAATGTTATATGCCAAGGAAAGTTGTGTAGTTGATGAATGATTCCCCAAGGAAGAAGGGATGCCTCCTGTTGCTGTTAGATTGTTTGTGCCAAGATAAAGTGTCAAAAGCTTTGCCAACGAGCCAAGTTCCTATGGTATATTGCCCATGAGACGGTTTGATCTCAACTTATGATGCTCAATTCAGAGCAGTATATTAAGTTGACTGGAATTTCCCCTCCAAAATGTTGTCACTGAGGTCACGATACTGCAGTAGGAACAGATGACCAATTTGCTTTGGAAACTTGCCCGAGAAGCTGTTGTTTCGAAGGTTGATGAGCCTAAGAAAGGAGAGGTTTCCGATGTGAGGTGGTATGGTTCCTTGCAAAACAGAGCCTGCAGGTTCAAGGATCCTACTCTTTGATGCCTCCTGCTGCAAGTAACTCCATACCAGCTACAGAAGTGAAAGGAGTCATTCCATGAGTTCAAGAATTCGTATCGATTAGCAGATATGGATCCTTTAAATTTGAGTAATGCCAATCGATCAGTTCCGTTTCCAAATGGATTTCCAGAAGTGGTATATTGAAAAAGTTTCATAACAAAGAGAAGGGTCGTCACAAAAAGGTATATAGGCCGAACGGAGCATAAGCTTGGACCATGAAGATCCATTATTCAGTAAGCAGAAGCAGGAATTCTGGTGATAAAACTATGCAGACTACGAGTTGTAGGACGATGAGTAGCCTTTCCTCTGGACGATTACTGGATTCTTAACACCATGACAATTAGTTAACCTCTCAACACCATGACCAATGGGAAACAATAAATTATGGATTAAACTTCCAAGAATAAGACGCTAAGTTACTTTTGTATTTATTTATTTGTATTCAAACTTCAAATCTCAGTGCTGCTTTCTTTGAAACTGTTCTTACTGTTGACAGTAGACACAGAGAGCAAATAGATAACAAGATCTGTTGCTGTTAACTAGTATTTGAAAGCTACTCTCCAACTGGTGGTAAGAAAAGAAAAGGACAAACTGCTGATGCATATTTGAAAGAAGGAATCTGAAGGGAACAAAGATAATGCAGGTAAGAAGTCCAATTTCAGTTGAAAATTATTCTCTCATATTCTAATTTTATTTTACAATACAATAGTCTTCGTTTCTGCAAATTCTGAAAATGTAACTCAGTGCTTGAACAAACGCAGTTGTTTTATGTGCTACGAATCGAGGTTCCAGACAGTACATCCCTTGCTAGGCATAATCCGTCTACAACATGTCCAATATCCATCCGCTCTCTCGGCAAATCTGCAGAACAAGCAACTCCTATACTGGCCATGATAACCAAGCACTTCCTAACTCTTTGCCTTTGATCATCTTGAACCTGATTCCTACTGTTTGATGCAATACTATGTGTGCTGCTTTCTTTTATCTGAAGAAGTACCGGATCACATATTTCTTCTACAAGTTCAGGCAAAGCTATCCGAACAAAGTTGTGCAGGTTCAGATCATCTTTGAACATCTCATCTGTAGGCCTCTTTCCAGTAAGCATCTCCAACAGCAGGATTCCGTAGCTATACACATCTCCATATGTTGAAACCTCGTTTCCTATGCCACACTCTATAATTTTTTTTTTTCCGCACGGAAACATATGGATCAAACTGTTAAAAACTGAAATAAATGAAAAATTAATGTTCTTGTATATGTCAGAAAAAGGTTGAAGCAACAATGCATCTTACCTGGGGCGATATAGCCTATGGAGCCATTTATGACATTGGCAGTGCTTCTGTGTGAAGGAAGTGAACACGAAGCATCTGGGACGTACCTTGCTAAACCAAAATCAGCAATACGGGCAGTCATGTTGCCTTCCAAGAGAACGTTGCTGGGCTTCAAATCGCAATGAACTATTGGCATGTGAGAGTGGTTGTGCAAATAATTCAGAGCAGTAGCTATGTCGATGGCAATGTTTACCCTCTGAGTAAGGTTCAAATGCCCCTGCACAATGGGTGCCCCAGGTAGTCTATGAGCTGAAAAATGTAGCCACTCTTCTAGATTTCCATTCGTCATGAATTCATAAACCAAAGCTAGGAAATCATTCCCTTGAAAATCGATACTTACGCACACGGTCAGTAGTTTGACAAGATTTCGGTGCCTAATATTTTTCAAGGTTTCACATTCAACCATAAAACTCTCTCTTGAACGATGAGCATTGAGTACTTTCACTGCAACAATTCTTTCTTCCTGATTGAGAATTCCCCTGTACACAGACCCAAAGCCACCAGCACCAATCAAATTCCGAGAAGAGAATCCATTAGTTGCTTTGAGGAGATCTTCACATGAAACTTTCAAGAGTGAAACCTCCCATGATGATCCTAAAGTTAACTTTGATCTCGCTTTGCTTGATAGATAAAGAAGCACAAAGCGCAATGCTTTTCTGGCTGGATAAAGAAGGATGAAGCACAATAGTAAGATAACTCCAATACCACTCCCACAAGCGATTGAGATAAGTACTTTTCGCCATGGAAATATATCTTGCTTATTGTTGGAGTTGCTGGAATTGCATATGGGCAATTGTAACGTAGGTATACCTCCACAAAGCCGTTTGTTTCCCTCGATATAAAATGCAGTTCTATTTGTGAAAACTCCTTCCGTTGGTACTGAACCTTCAAGATCATTATGTGATAGGTTCAAGTTCTGCAACAAACGGAAACTCCCCAAATTGGTGGGAATTCCGCCAGACAAGTTGTTACAAGAGAGGTCCAAATTTTCAATCAATCTTAGAGAACCCAAGGATTGAGGAATTGTTCCCTGAAACGAGTTTCCTCTAAGATACAGACTACTCAAACCCTTGCAACCCACTAAACTTTCTGGGACTTCACCAGATAACATGTTTGCGGAAAGATCCAAGATTTCAAGTGACTGCATGTTACCTACTTTGAAGGGAATGGATCCGGTAAGTTGGTTTCTGGATAGGTCCAAACCCGCAACATGTGTCAAGGATGACAAAACTTGTAGTGGAATGGGACCGCTAAGAATATTTTGAGAAAGATTCAAGTATATCAAATGACTGCAATTACCAAGACTTTGCGGTATTTGTCTTTCTAAGGAATTGGACATGAGATCTATTGTTTCTAGAAAAGATAGATTGCCTATAGAAGGTGGGATGGTACCTGACAGTTGATTGTTATCCAATACCAAATAAATAAGTTTATCTAGTTTAGAAATTGAGCTTGGTATAGAGCCCCTCAATAGGTTTTCCTCAAAGTCTATTCTCCTCAAGTTGATGAAATTTCCAATCTCAGAAGGAATGCTTCCGCGTATCTGATTCCACCCCATTCTCATATCCTCGAGCTTTATTGAGAGATTGCTGACAGATTCAGGTAGCACTCCTCCAAAATGATTGGATCTGATATCCAAGCGCTTTAAGTTGGTGCAATTAACCAGAGAAGAGAGAAAGTCCAAGTCACCTTTCTCATTATTTCCAAGATTGTTAGTATCTATTTCTAACCGGAACAGATTGGACATCCTTACCAGATTTGGTATTCTTCCGGAAAACTTATTTTTTGAGATTTCAAATATTGCAAGGTTGGAAGCGTTGGAGATTGTAGTTGGTATTGGTCCAGTGAATGGGTTGTATTGGAAGTGAAAGGCTTCGAGGTTGGGGAATATAGTGTGGCCCAAGCCAGGAGGAAGAGTTCCATGAAGTTGGTTTAGAAACACCGAAATGATTGTAATAGAAGAGAGGTTGTTTGTGGATGGAGGGATGGTACCATTCAAATAATTTGAACCCAAATAAAGAGTTTTTAGGCTATTCAACTGGCCAAGGCTATTTGGAATACCTCCCTGCAGAATATTTTCTGCCACAGATAATTCCTCAAGAGAAGAAAGATTCCCAAAAGAATGTGGGATTTCCCCACTTAAATTGTTCTTGCCTAAATTAAGTACATGAAGCTTGGACAATGAGCCGATTTCAATTGGAAGTTTGCCACTAAGATCATTTCCATATAATCCAAGGTATTGGAGGTTAGAGCAACGCGATATGTTGAATGGAATATGACCACTGAAGGAGTTGTTTTCAAGGCGTAGTTGTTGCAACCGGAACAAACGACCAATTTCTGGAGGGATGTTTTGTTGAATAAGAAGAGTATCCAAGATAACTCTAATAATCCCAAGAAGAAGAGAATAGAGCACACTCTTAAAGAAAGCTCACAAAACAAACTAATTAGCAAAACTTTTCTTATTTAGCTCTAGGCTTTGTTTTTCCTTGGATGATATACAATGCTTGGGGACTTGGGTATTTATAGCAAACCAAATGAAAGCTACACCACACACTTAATTAAACTAAGATTATTTAGTACCACACAAAACCCACTAATTGCACCTAATTTTTTCCACTCAACCATACCTAACATTACCTAACTTTGCAATTGTAAGCAATTACATCATCAAACTAGATATGGACTTGGACTTTAGATTGGGTTGTGGATTACTTATGGTTTTGGGCTTGACATTGATTCTCAACACTCCCCCTCAATGTCAGCTCTCATTCTTTGCACTGTGCTGAGCAGACAGCGAAAATTTTCGAGCTTGCCTGTACTTAAACTTTTTGTGAACAAGTCTGCAACTTGATCATTCGTCTTGACCTGTCTCATCTCAATCTCTTTTTGTAGAACCTTTTCTCTGATAAAGTGGTAGTGCACTTCCACATGTTTAGTTCTTGCATGAAAGACTGGATTTTCCGCCAAGCGAATGGCCGATTGGTTATCACAGTACAATGGTACTGGATAATCTACTGGTTGATGTAGCTCACTCATCAACTGTACCAGCCATGCATTCTCTTGAGCTGCCATTGCTGCTGCTCTATACTCTGCTTCTGTGGTTGACAAAGATACCGTTGGCTGTCTCTTGCTACACCAAGAGATGGTTCCAGAACCAAGCTTAAACACATACCCAGTTGTTGATCTCCTGGTGTCATGATTTCCTGCATAGTCAGCATCACAGTAACCAACTAACTTGCAGTCTTCACCTTTCTTGTACAAAAGACCATAGTCAATTGTACTCTTCACATATCTCAGTATTCGTCGAACTGCTTCCAAATGAGGCCTCTTTGGATTTTGCATGTACCGACTCATCACACCAACTGCATAAGAAATGTCAGGTCGAGTCAAGGTTAAGTAGATCAGACTACCTACCAATTGTCGATACATTGTCGCATCTTCCAAATCTTTTCCTTCATGTGCACACATTTTGGCGTTTGGTTCCATCGGTGTCAAAATTGGCTTGCATTCGAGCATTCCAAACTTCTTCAATAAATCTTTGGAATATTTTTGCTGACAGAGAAATATTCCTTCTTGTGTGCGATCAATCTCTAGACCAAGGAAGTACTTGAGTTGGCCAAGTTCCTTCATCTGGAAACGGACTGATAAATTCTCCTTCGTCCGAAGAATTTCTGCCTCATCATCACCGGTTATGATCAAGTCATCCACATACACTAGCACGATAGCTAGCTTTCCTTCATTGGCTTTGACAAACAAGCTGGAATCTGTAGGTGTTACTGAATAACCACTTTGTGTTAGAAACTCTGCAATCTTACCGTACCACGCTCTTGGTGCTTGTTTCAAACCGTAGAGTGCTTTCCTTAAATTGCACACGTACTCAGGATGAGCTTCGCTTTTAAAGCCCATTGGCTGCATCATGTAGATCTCCCGATCTAACTCTCCATGCAAGAAAGCATTCTTCACATCCATTTGGTATAGATTCCAATCTTTGTTAGCTGCAAGTGCAAGTAGGACTCGTACTGTTGTAAGTTTTGCCACTGGACTAAACGTTTCATCATAGTCTAGTCCGTACTGTTGAGAAAAACCACGAGCTACTAGTCGTGCCTTGTACCTCTCGATTGACCCATCTGGACGACGCTTTATCTTGTAAACCCACTTACAGGATATGGGTTTGACATCTCTTGGCTTTGGTACCAGATCCCAAGTTTGATTTTGCTCAAGTGCATCAAGCTCTTCTTTCATAACTGTCATCCACTCAGAACTCTGTGATGCTTCTTCGAACATCTCAGGTTCTGTTGCTTTTTCAATTATGGCTGCATTGGCGTATTTGGGATTTGGTCTCCGTGCTCTTGTTGACCTTCGGAGTTGAGATTGTGGAGTTGATTCTTCCGGTACATTAGGCCCACCTTCTTCGTCTGGTTGTTGATACATGCCAGTTTGCTAAGGATTCTGAGTCACTCTCTGTTCGACATCATCATCATTTGGATCTCCTGATTCATCTGAACTTGGTTGGAGTTGGAT